CCTTTGGAGCCAGTTAGTGCCGAAACGGAGCCCTGAAGGGCCCCTCTCGGGCCCTTTCCTTCACCTCCCATCTGGATCACCCCTCATTACCGCCTGCCCGAGAATCTTCCCTTTGGGGCCGCTGCTGGGGCTCGTGCGATGTGTGTGCCGTAAACCGGCGGGGGCACGCATGCGCTCTTCCCAACGGAAGGCGCAGGTGGGCGCGGCCCTGGTGGAGGGTGCGCCGAAATGGGCGGAGCCGCCATGCGGAACCTCCCACTAGGGCCGCAGTGGAGCTCGCCTACAGTAGGGGTCTTGAAGAAGGAACCCTTTTCGTTGGAGAGGGGCTCGGTGTTCCTTGATTGTTTCAAAGTTTGCCTCAGGTTTTCCTTATGTCTTCGGTAGGGAATCAGAGTTTAACTTATGGAAAAAAGGGGCCTCGTTCTTTATGTAGGGTTCCTTAGGTCAAGGCCCCGATTGTATGGGGCCATGATCTCGTGAGGGGTGTGCCCCAAAGAAGGAAAACACGCCAGAAACATAAACGTTTGGCCCTCCGCGCGGATTTTTTGGATCGGCGCTGGGTCCCACAGGCGCCGATCCAGCGCAGGGGGGGAGGTCCAGCGCAGATGCAAGAAACCCGCGCGGAGCGCCAACAATTTATGCTTACGCAGTTGTTCTTCTCCTGGTGCCGAAATGGGCGGCGCTGCCATGCGGACACTCCCACTGGTGCCGTTACTGGGGTTCTGCAAGTGGCCACCGTCATCGTGAGGGGTGTGCCGAGATGGGCGGCGCCGCCATGCGGACCTTCCCACGGGGCGTCAAGTGGAGCTCACCATGGGGCCACGAAGCGCGTGGTGGGTGTGCTGGACTGGGGGTGCGTACGCCATATGCCCGCGCCTCGGACGAGGAGGAAAGAGAGCCGGGTGGAGGAGGGTGGGGAAGACGAGATGGGGAAGGATGAGGAAGACGAGGGGGCGAGGGATGGCGGAGAGGGCGATGAGTAGGAGAAACATGTCGCGGAGGCGAGGGGGACCATGGCTACGGCAGCGTGCGAGCAAAGAGCATGCGTTTATGGTACTGATCATATTAGTAGCAGCGGCAGCAGCAGTAGTTGTTGTTTCCCGTTGCTATTGTTCCTGCTGTTGTTTGTTGCTGCCAGGGGGGCGCAATGGAGGCATTTTGCGCATGTAAGATTTAAACATACAAGCTCCCATGAGAGTTTCATTCGAGGCTTCTTCACAGGAGGCGCGCACGAGGCTGTGATGCATTGGGGGCCTGCAGGAGCTCTGTTAGTCGTTCTCGAGCACGAAGGGTGGCGCCGCCTGGGGCGAGGTGGCAGATTCGGCAGGACATCCAGAGGGGAACGCGACCCTGTCAGAGCGGCGTCGACGGGTTTGCCTCGCGACCGAAAGCGGAGTCGAGCGCAAGAGGGCTCCTGCGACGAAAAAGGGATGAATTGTTCGCGCGAACAACCTTCATCGGCTTCAGCACCATGCGCATGTCCCCACCCTCTCAATATTCAATCTGTGTCTCGTCAGGTGTTTTTTCTCCGAAAGGGGCAACGCAGCCAGGCGCTTCGAAAGATCAATGCGACGGGGAGACACGGGCCTGACAAAACCAGACATGCGCCTCAGGCCTCGGAGACAGAATGAAACGGATGGCGCGGTCCGTGGGGGCATCCGTCCTCGCAGCAGGCGCTCCACGAGCACCACGAGCAGCGACCGCCCGTCTGCCCCGCCCTCCCTGCGCCACCGGGTGTTCCCGATGGGGACGGGCGCCGCGGCGAGCGGGGGGCGCGGACGAGCGCAGGCGCGGGTGGGATTGCAAAAAAAACCTGGATTGCAAAAAAAACCTTCGACGAAGGATTGCAAAAAAAGCCCTCGACGAAGGATTGCAAAAAAACCCTTCGACGAAGGATTGCAAACAAAAAACCCTTCGACGAAGGATTGCAATCCTTCGGGTTTTTCTTTTGCAATCCTTTTTGCAATCCTTCGTGCAGCGAGCAGCAGGAGACCCAGGGAGGACGCGAGCCAAAGGGGCGGGCAGGGGCAGAGGCACCGGCGCCCCTCTGCGAGCAGGGGCCGCGGGACCTGGCGGGACCTGGCGGCGGCGGCGGCGAGGCTTGCGCGTAACAGGTGCGTGTCCCTCTACAGATCAGGAGGGGAAGAAACACACAGACACAATTAATCGTCGATTTCCCAGAAAATATAGGAAAACATGGGAAGTGGTGGGGAAGACAAAAACCACAGAAAATATGGGAAAATATGGGGAATCTTTTTATTTGTGTGTATTTATTTGTGTGTCCCAGGGCCCCTTCAACAGAAGGAAGCTCCAGGAATAGTCAAAAAAAACAGTCGAGGGACGATTTGTTCCTAGATTTGCTTATCTGTGGAGTATTTGGGGGGTACTTCTATTTTTTCGTCGCCCAAAATCCCCCTGTATGGGGGGCAGGCCCGACCTGACATCAGTAGCGCATCAGACTCGGGAGCTCGCGTCCGAGTGCAACGCGGTCGCCCAGGCCGCGCGGGCGGGGGTCAAGTACAGCTCAAGCAGGCCAGCAAGGACGGCACGGACGTGGACAAGAATCCGCGAGGACCACCACGTCTCCTGATCCGGCGGCGGCGATCGCAGCTATCGGAGGGAAACTCGCGGACGAAGCAAACAAGAAGCTGCTCTTGCAGTGCTGCAGCGAGCAGGTGATGAACACAACCCCACAGGTTTGCGGCGAGGCTGTCCTTGGCTTCGCAGCACAGCGCAGCAAGATGCAGAACGCGCAGAACCCCGAGCATGAGCAGAGTAACCCGGGCGATGGGCCCATACGTTTAAGCCGGGCCTGTCCCTCTACAGGAGGAATATTCAAGAATAGCCACAAAATAGTCGGGGGACTATTTTTTGATTTTTGTTTGGGCATTTGGGGGCATTGCCGGGGCAGTGTAAATTTGTCGTCCAAAATCCCCCTGTAGGGGGACAGGCACGACTTAACCATACGTGTGCCGCGACCTTCTCGGGCGCAGTATGCTGGGGCGGCCCGAGCGCGAGAAGGCCCCGGCGCCAGTCTCGGCGGGCCCCTCGAGGGCCGCTGGAGCGCACGCTGGGGGGGCGGCACGCTGGACGCCCTCCGCTCGAGTCGGAGACGGCTTCTCCCAGGGGAGGGGGAGGCGAGTGAACTGCTTCTCCGCACACCTCCAGCCTAAGAGGCCTCCAAGAGGGCCCCCAGGCAGGCCAGACAAAAAGTCAGAATCGTGGATTTTCAATGAGGCTTTGAAGGATTTTGGAATTTGCCTTCTTTTCGGCCTTCCGACGGCCCGAGACGGCCCAAGTGCTTCCAAATATCGCCCAAGAGGCCCAAGACGCCCCCGAGAGGCCCCCAGGGCGACCACGGAGGCCTCTAAGACGCTCAAGAGGCATCGCGTGAGAGATATCCGTCCACCTCCTCCCCCTCTGAAGACGAGACCCCCGCAGCGGTCTCCTGTTCGACAACCGATTGCCCTCGTGCACGAATGAGGCGAAGGCCATGCGAAACCGAGGCAGAGGAGGAGGCCCAGGACCAGGGCAGAGGCAGAGGCAGAGGTCGTGGAGGGAGGAGGGGAGGAAGTCACCGCCACCCCAACCCAACCCGAAGGCCCCGATTAGCCCTCCATTTCCGGTGGTGGGGGGGGGGCTCGGGTAACATTGAAAGAACACATGGAGCCCGTACCCCCCCCAACCCGAAACTCGGGTCAAACTCGGGTTTCCGGGTTGGGTTGGTGTGGTGTGGCAGGTGGTCAGGAAGGGGGGGGTAGGGGACGCCACCAGGATTAAGTCGGGCCTGTCCCCCTACAGGGGGAGTGTTCAAAACAAAAATAGCCAAACTATAGTCTGGGGGCGGTGTTTGAGTGTTTTTGACCTTGTTGGAGCATTTTTGGGGTATTGTTTATTCTTCGTCGAAAATCCTCCTCTAGGGGGACACGCCCGACTTAACACCAGGAGAGAGCCTTCTGGTGGGGGAGGTCTGCGCCCCCCTGTCTGCCTTGTTGCAGTTTCGTGTTCTCGCGGGCCGTGCCTCGTGGATTTCTACGTCGTCATGGCGAAGACCGCTACACGGCCATTGTCTTCGCAACTTGCGCGACTGGCATGGCCAGTCGACGCAGCGCTGGTATTTCTAACGGTGTTGTTCCTTTTGTTCCCCCGTCCCTCCCCTCTATCCCTTGCCCCCCTTCCTTTCCTCCCCCCCCCGCCTCCAGGTGGCCCCCTCGTGGCACCCCTCCCCTCCCGAGTCGCGTGTAGCTTCGGGCAGGGGCCGGCTCGGCCCCTCGCCCTGTTCGGCAGGGCCAATTGGGGGTGCTGATTTGCCAGGGGGGAAGAAACGCACACACACAATGAATCGTCGATTCCCCTTAGAAAATATAGGAAACTCTGGGAAGTGGGGGGGAGGACAGAGACCCAGAAAGTATGGGAAGATATTGGGAGTCCAGTTACTTGTGTGTGTGTCTATTTGTGTGTCCCAGTGCCCCTTCAATGTGGGCCTGCGCGCTCGTGCGCCTGCACGCACGCCTCTTATAGTGACAGCTCCAAGTTATAGCTTGTCAGACCCGGAGCACTTCAGACCCCGAGTCTGGTCCGCCAAAGGTGCTCGGGTGGGAAGCTGGGTCCCAGTCCGCTTGTCCGCCGTTCCTTGTTCCTCCCACTCTGCCTCCACGGCGCGAGAGGGTGTGGGCTTCGAGGGTCAACCGTCGACCCGTGGACCTCTCGTGGTCTGCGTCCGGACAGGAATTGCCAGGGGGATCCAGCCGCGGCGACTAGGAGGTCCAGGGAAGCCCCGGAACATGAGAAATCTTGTCTCCTCGAAGCTCGAACCTCGAAGCCCGATCCTCGATTCCAGACCCTCCTCCTCCTCCTCCTCCTCCTCCTCCTCCTCCTCCTCCTCCTCCTCCTCCTCCTCCTCCTCCTCCTCCTCCTCTGCCTCCTCCTCCTCTTCTTCCGCCCGCCAAGGGGGGGGGGGGGCGGGCGCAGCGCGCCCCGCGGCCGCGCCCCCCGCCCAGGAGCAGCTCCAGGAGGCGCGCCGGGCCGCGGAGCACCACCGCGCCCGCGCCGCGGCGGCCAAGCAGCGCTACCAGGACTCCCTGATGGGCCTGGAGGCGCTGCGCTTCGGGGCCAACATCTCTTCCCGGATAGCCCGCGGAGAGCTAGCCGGGCTTCAGAGTAAGAAGCCAGGGCCGCAGGGTAGCGGGCGGTCCAGGCTCCCTGGCGCAACTTGCTTGGCCCTGCAGCGTGTTCCGGCGGGCCTTGTCTAAGGGTTCCCCAATGCGCGAGCCCAGAAGCTCTCCAGAAGGTGCTTCGGAAGCACTCTCCAGGTCCTTCCAGAGTGCTTCGCCAGGCCTGTCCAGGCCCTGCGGGCTCCCTGCTATCCGGGTGTTGGACGACGTAAGTGAATATATCTGTTTACACACCATATTTCATATCTACATTATATATATATACAGTACAAGCATGGATGCATGATTTACATATTCGTAGAATCGCATACCACTAATGTGACGTACCATGCACAGTTGCATGCACCATGCCATACAGTTCCAAAACACTATACCATAGCTGGTTACATCCGATATGCAGTGTATCATACAAAACATAGTTACACGATGCCAGACATGCGCTATACACTAAACCAGACCATACACTATACCATGCATGCTACTATACGGTTTACATTTACACACACACTGTACAGCATCTGTACAGTTACGATACACGATTACATAAACATATCACGTATATTCTTATATGATATATGATTTCTGTGTTAGATATACGTGTATACATACATGTACTTATACGAAAACACACATACACATATGCGTACATGCGTGCATGTATACATTATTGCAAACACACATACAAACGTACACAATTGCATACATGCATGCTTCGTTGCATGCATGAATGTATGCATGCTTGCATACATACACACATGCATGCATACACAAAAACATGCATACATACATACATACATACATACATACATACATACATGCGTGCATGCATGCATGCATACATACATACATACACACATACATACACACATGCATGCATACATGAATACATTAATACATACATACATACATATATACATACATACATACATACATACACACATGCATACATACATACATGCATACATACATGTACACACATGCATACATACATACATACATACATACATACATACATCCAGCCATACATCCAGCCATACATACATACATACATACATACATACATACATACATACATACACCTACATACATACAAACATACATGCATATATACATACATGCATGCATGCATGCATGCATGCATACATACATACATACATACATACGTACGCACATGCATGCACACAGATAATCATGCATGCATGCATGCATGCATACATACATACATGCATACATACACACGTACATGCGTACGTACATACATACATATGTACATACGCGCGTGCGTACATACATACAGACATGCAGGCATACTGATGCATACCTATCCCGTTTAGACTTTAGATAGGAACAGCCCCGATCCTCCAGCTTCATGGAACCTCGCAACCCCACCCCCCCGACGTCGTGCTCTTTCGCGGCATGGGCCCCCAGACGCCCCAACGCCTTCCCCAGGAAAAGGTGCCTCGTCCGGAGCCGCTATTCTTGGCGGCCCCGCGGCCCGGCTCGGGCCCCACCAGGGCCCCGCCGTGACTTCTGTTGGCCACAACCTGGGCCTCCGGCAACCGCTTCGGGACGATCCGGGCGCCCCCGGAGCGCACTCGGCGAGGCGCCGTTGCTGGAGACCATCCCGAGTCTGGGACAGCCGCCGAGGACCTGCGAGGACGCCCGAAGACCTCGAACCTCGAGGCCCCCTCCGCGACAGCCGCGGCCCTGGAAGCTCCGCGACCCGAGCGTTCAGTCGGGCATGTCCCTCTACAGCCGGAGAATTCAGAAATAGTCAAAAAAGAATTTGGGGACAGTTTGTCTGTGTGCTTCTTTCGACTGCTTTTGAGTATTGCTGGCTATGTTAATCTTTCCTTGCCAAGGCGGCCTGGAGGAAGACATGCCCGACCGAACTGCAATGGCTTCCTGGGCAAGCCATGGCGAGCCGCGCCCGGGCGCGGCGGCGAAGGGGAGCCACTGAGGGCCAGAGAGCGAGGAGGGCGGCCCAGAGGCGAGGATGGCCTCGAGGAGCGAGGGTCCAGGCCTCGAGGGCGGGGAGAGGGGGAAGAGGGGGAGGAGGAGGAGGAGGAGGAGGAGGAGGAGGAGGAGGAGGAGGAGGAGGAGGAGGAGGAGGAGAGGAGGAGGAGGAGGAGGAGGAGGAGGAGGAGGAGGGAAGGAGGAGGGGAGGAGGAGGAGAGGAGGAGGAGGAGGAGGAGGAGGAGGAGGAGGCGGAGGAGGAGGAGGAGGAGGAGGAGAGAGGAGGAGGAGGAGGGAGGAGGAGGAGGAGGAGGAAGAGGAGAGGAGGAGGAGGAGGAGGAGGAGGATGGGGAGGGGCAGAGGAGGAGGAGGCGGAGGAGGCGGAGGAGGAGGAGGAAGAGGAGGAGGAGGCGGAGGAGGAGGAGGAAGAGGAGGAGGAGGCGGAGGGGGAGGAGGAGGAGGACGAGGAGGCCTCCCGGATGGGATCTGAGCAGATGTGGTCGGAGTATCGCGCCGCATCGGCGATGCATTGCCGATGCATCGCTGATGCGGCGCGTTGCAGTGCCACGGGATACGCACTGCAGTGCCCCTTTCGGGCGGCGTGGTGAATCATGCGCTCTCTCGAGAAATGTCAGAAGATGCTTGGGAAGGCGAGTCTGTTGTAGTGGTCGTTTCGTTCTGCAACACTTTCAACTTGCAAGTTTGTGGTTCCGATCCGTTTGCAGGGCGCTTGCAGGTACGTCTCAAGTCCGCATATCTGCTCGCAGTCCTTAGCAAGTCGCGGACCCAACTTCGAGCAGCTAGGCGGACTTGCACCCCACTTGCAAGTGCGTTGCAACCACCTTGCAATTGTTGGACATCGCACAGCGGTCACTGCAGCGTTGGAGCAGCGTGGGACATTGTGCACTCTCGGAAGCACCGCGGGCGTTTCAGGGTGAACGCCGCCCGTGGCCCAGACTCGGCCCATCGTTGAAGAACCCCACGTTTCTGAAACGGTCGACCCTTCAAGCTTGAAGGATCCCCGCGGTGTCAGGAAACATCGCTGGGGTCGACGCGACGCGAACCTGCCGCGTAGGATGAGGATGAGAATGAGGATACGGACGAGGAGGAAGAGGAGCAGGAGGAGCAGGAGGAAGAGGAGGAGGAGGAGAGTAGTAGTAGCAGTAGTAGTAGTAGTAGTCGTCGTAGTAGTCGTAGTAGTAGTAGTAGTAGTAGTAGTAGTAGTAGTAGTAGTAGTAGTAGTAGTAGTAGTAGTAGTAGTAGTAGTAGTAGTAATCTTAGTAGTAGTAGTAGTAGTAGTAGTAGTAGTAGTAGTAGTAGTAGTAGTAAACGTAGTCGTAGTAGTAGTCGTCGCCGTAGTCGTAGTAGTAGTAGTAGTAGTAGTAGTAGTAGTAGTAGTAGTAGTAGTAGTAGTCGTAGTAGTAGTTGTTGTTGTTGTAGTAGTCGTAGTCGTAGCCGTAGTAGTGGTAGTAGTAGTAGTAGTAGTAGTAGTCGTAGTAAGTATAGTAGTAGTAAGTAGTAGTTGTGTAGTAGTAGTAGCGGCAGCAGCAGCAGCAGCCAGCAGTAGTAGTAGTAGCAGTAGTAGTAGTAGTTGTAGTAGTAGTAGCAGTAGTAGTATTAGTCGTTGTAGTATAAGTATAGCAGTAGTAGCAGTAGTAGCAGTAGTCGTAGCAGCAGCAGTAGTAGTCAATACCTATTGTTGCCATATAGTAGTAGTAGTAGTAGTAGTAGCGTAGTAGTAGTAGTAGTAGTAAGTAGTCGTGTCGTAGCCGTAGTCGTAGTCGTAGTCGTAGCAGTAGTAGTAGTAGTAGTAGTAGTAGTAGTAGTAGTAGTAGTAGTAGTAGTGGTAGTAGTAGTAGTAGTAGTAGCAGAGTCGTAGAAGTCGTAGTCGTAGTTGTAGTCGTAGTCGTAGTAGTCGTAGTCGTAGTCGTAGTCGTAGTCGTAGTCGTAGTCTTAGTCGTAGAGTCGTAGTCGTAGTCGTAGTCGTAGTCGTAGTAGTCGTAGTCGTAGTCGTAGTCGTAGTCGTAGTCGTAGTCGTAGTCGTAGTCGTAGTCGTAGTAGAAGTAGTAGTAGTAGTAGTAGTAGTAGTAGTAGTAGCAGTAGCAGTAGCAGTAGCAGTAGCAGTAGCAGTAGCAGTAGTAGTAGTAGTAGTAGTGGTAGTAACAGTATCAGTAGCAGTATCAGTAGCAGTAGCAGTAGCAGTAGCAGTCGCAGTAGCAGTAGCAGTAGTCGTAGTAGTAGTAATAGTAGAAGTAGTAGTAGTAGTCGTCGTAGTAGTAGTAGTAGCAGTAGTAGTAGTAGTAGTAGCAGTAGTAGTAGTAGTAGTAGTAGCAGCAGTAGTAGTAGTAGTAGTAGTAGAAGCAGCAGTGGTAGGAGGAGGAGGAGGAAGAGGAGGAGGAGGAGGAGGAGGAGGGGACGAGGAGGAGACTGGTGGAATATACAGCCCGAAGGGCGGCTGGTCCCTGTATGTGGTGCCGTGAAGAATGGCACTCCTCGGTGGTGTCTCATTCCCCTGACTGGGGGGATAGAGGTGGTGGGCACCAACTGAGAGGGGCTTGTGAGCTGCCCCTGTCCGAGGGGGCAACAGAGGCGGCCACCTTTCGAGAAACAGCTGTAGAGGGCGACTCGACCCCTTAGGGGTCGAGTTGCCTGCTTGGGCAAGCGAGGGGGATGGAAGGGTCGGAAGGTGGGGGACTGCGCTGGGGCATCCAGCGAGAAACTGGGGGGACGGGCGGGAGAATGTCGGGTAGCGGATAAGAGTACGTTGGTGGAGAAGCCGGCGGCGAGGGACAGGGAGAAAGAGGGCGAAGGAATAAGAGAGAGGAAGAGAGAGAGAGAGAGGGAGACAGAGAGGGAGAGAGAGAGAGAGAGAAGAGCGGCAGCGCGCGAGAGGAAGAAGGAGGGAGAGGGAGAACAAACTGGAAGAACGAATACGACAGCGAGGCACGAATCGATAAAGTAAGAGCGAGTTGGACTCTTCGATGGGAAGTAAGCGTATGCCTGATGTCACAACAGTTAGGACCATGCAGGGTGGATGAGTGTCCGGACAATGGGAATGGGATCAGCAGCGGGATCATTGGGCTTTCCATATGAAGCGGCACAAGTGGGAGCCACTCAATGGGTAGCCGGATGGTCGAGGATGATGGGGCAGCGGGTATGGAGGCAAGACGCAGGATTTGTAGAAGAGGATGGAGAAGAGAGAACACGGGCGAGTGTTGGAAGGGGAGAAAAGCGGTAGTAGCGCAAGAGGGCATAGGCGACAGGCGGGGACCGACCAGGGTAGTTGCACGGCTTTCATTATCAATCCATGTAGTTGCGATGTGTGTATATTGTAGTGGCCTTCGGCCAGTGCCGCCGATCCGGGTCGCTCGGATACACATATTACGCGGACACCTCACGCACGCACACGACCAAATGCACATACGGCAGACACACATACAGAGACACACTAGGCGCACGCCAGACACTAGCACGCACAGACATTCGCAGACACGCACCACACACAGACACTCGCACAGGAGCCTGTCAGGGCGTCGAGGGGGCTTCTTGGGGGCTTTGGGGGGCCCTCTTGGGGGCTCTTGGGGCCTCCTGGGGGCCTCGTGGGCTGGAAGGCTAGATTTTTTCCGCTTTTCGTCTCTCTTTTGGGTCTCTTGGGGCCGTCTTGGGGGCCTCTTGGGCCGTCTTGGGTAGCTTTTGGACCGCCTTGGGGCCCTCTTGGGCCGTCTTGGGACTGTCTGGGGGCCTCCTGGGCCGTCTTCGAGCGGTCTTGGGGGCCTCTTGGGCCGTCTTGGAGCGTCGGAAAGCTGAAAAAAGCGACAACCCCAAAAACATTGAAAAAAAACAATGGAAATCAACGATTTTTGCCTCTGGGGGCCCTCGTGGGAGGCCTCTTGGAGGCCTCTTGAGACGTCTTGGAAGGCTCTTGGGCCGTCTTGGGGCCATCTTGGGCGTGTTCGGGCGATCTTTCGGGGTCTCGGGACTTTCGTAGACCGTCCTAAGAGACTTTTGCGGCCGCGGCCACCCTTGTAGCGCATCCTCGAGATTAGAGCCTTCTGTAAAAGCAGCCCCCCCGCATCCGCCGGAAACTCGCCCCCCCCCCCCCCATCCCCCCTTCCCCGGCAGAGCCACCCCGGCAACCCCCCCAGAGGCTGAGGCTCAGCCTCGAGGCTGTAGCTGAGACTCCTTGAAACTCACACGCCGGATCGGCGGATTTTCTCGTGGAGTGATAGCAAGAGCGCAAGGACGGATGTGGGCCGTGTGTGGAGGATTGGGCGGACAGTACGGGCAGGAGGGATAGAGGCAAGAAGATTGGAGATGGAGACGACCGGCGTTGGGGGAGGGCGCAAGCAGAGGGAAGAAGGGGGCAGGGAGCAGGGAAGGGGCTCGGTTTTGGGGAGGGCGGGGGCTGGGCGACAGAAGGGAGCAGGGAACAAGGAATGGGATCTGGCGATTGACGCGATGAGTGCGCGTCGGATGGCGGGTGGGGTGTCCGACCAGGTATGAAGCGAAGGCGAGGCCCTTTGTTGTCGCAGTGGTCGAGTCAAGGGCCCCGGGGTATAGGGGGGAGAATGGGGACCTAGGGCACCCAAGGCAGGAGGGCCATAACAAGCGGGAGGAATAGCGGGTGGAGCCGCTGAAAGGGGCTGGGATGCCCGCCCTAGTCTTCCCAACCGGGGTGGTAGGGGTAGCGGGATGAGCTGGGAAGAGCAAGAAAAGCAGGGTAGCATAATGGCCGAGAAAGACGGGGTATCAGCAATGAAGGCAAGATGCAAGAAGGATTGCTGGTATCGGCCCAGCTCCCTAACCTGAGGGGTGCTTGTGAGGGTGCTCGTCGGGAGCGCGAGATGTGCACTCCCTCATCAGCGCCCCGTGCGTCCCTCACAAGAGTCGAACCCCACAGGCTGCGGGAAGCCATCGGCACGGGGAGGGGAGGAGGAGGAAGATGAGGAGCAGGAGGAGGAGGGGGAGGAGGAGTAGGAGGAGGAGGAGGAGGAGGAGGAGGAGGAGGAGAAAGAGGAGGAGGAGGTAGCTGGCGTGCCCCCCGCGCAGGCGCTGAGCGAGCAGGCGCACCGCGGGCGGCGGGGCGCGAGCCCCGGGGAGCCGCCGCGAGAGGGGCTGCCGGCGTGGCAGTGCCCGGCAGGCCAGCCGCGAGCGAGGGTCAGCACGCCTGACACTCAAGCAGTGGCGAAGCGTCCTGGCCTGCCTATAGGCCTACCGCAGGATGTTCTAAGAACCCTTCGTGGTGTGTACGAAATGTTGTTCGAACATTTCTGACTGAGACTGTCTCGTGCATCAACACATCGTTTATTTGCTCTAAGCATGTTTTGGTTGTTGGAACATTCTTGGGCTCTGAGCAAATGTCGTGGTAGGCCTATGGGAGTGCCGGGACGGTCGGCCCCTGCTCAGGACATGGGTACTCCAGATTTCGCAATAAAGGGAGGGGGGTCTCATTTCGGGAGGGGTCTCTTCCAGGCTATCTTGGAGGGCCTGGGGGGGTCTGGGGACGATGTTTGGGAGGGTTCTCCCACGAGGGGGGGTCTGAAGTGGCCTGTCTTGGAGGGTCCAGACCCCCTCCCTTTTATTACGAAATCTGGAGTACAGAAACTATGCAAGCAGTGGTGAGGCGTCCTGGCTGGTTCTCGGCGGCGTTCCAGCCTCGGGGTGCCCTCCATCCGCTGCGCCTCTCGTCGAGGGCGCTTCCCGCGGGTGCCCGGCCCGTCCCGAACGGCCGCCGGAGAGCCGACCTGAGGGCCCGAAGACAACCAGAGCGTACGGTGTCCTCCTCCTCCTCCTCCTCCCTCCTCCCTCCCTCCTCCTCCCTCCTCCTCCTCCTCCCCTCCTTCCTCCTCCTTCCTCCTCCTCCCCCTCCCCTCCTCCTCCTCCTCCTCCTCCTCCTCCTCCTCCTCCTCCTCCTCCTCCTCCTCCTTCCTCCTCCCCTCCCCCTCCTCCTTCTCCTCCTCCTCCCCCTCCTCCTCCTCCTCCTCCTCCTCCTCCTCCTCCTCCTACTGGGGTACGGTGTGGATTGTGGTTGGCGTGTCGCGGCGCCGGTTTGGGCCCAGCACGCCTTCGCGCGACACGATGTCCGCGTCCCGGTCCCCAGCCGTCAACGTCCCGAGTTTCTCCCAGCCTTCATCCCCGCCGGGCGGAGCGACACCTGATCTCAAGCAGTGGCGAGGCGACCTGCTTGGCCCATAGTCGGGTCGGGCGAAAGGGGGGGATTGGGAAAGGGGGGGTTACGGAATTTGCTGCATGCAGCTGGTTTCGGCCTCACCGAGGGGCCCATTCCTCGATACATAGCTCCATCCGGCGCCGGGAGGCGCCAGGAAAATCAGCTACGGGAGCTGATTCTCAAAACCCCCCTTTGCTATCCCCCCCTTTCGCCCGACCCGACATAGGCCCACCAGAGGATGCTCTAAGAACCTTGTTGTGGTCTGCGCGACACGTTCTTCGAACGCTTCTGGCCGAGACCGTTTTGTTTGAACCAGTCGGGACTGGGTTATAAGAGCATGGTTTGTGTTATTAGATCATCTGGGGGTTCTGAGCACTTTTCGTGGTAGGCCTGTCGGAATGCCGGGACGGCCGGTCCCTGCTCAAGACATGGTTACGAAAAACATGGGGTCGATGCCCACCAGACAGTGATGTCAAAAACCGACAGCGGCCGCTGTTGGGCAGGCAAACTGTTTATCTCCCATGGACAACGTCTGCGGCGACGCCGACGGCGATTTTTCTGTTCAGATGGGCAGGAACTGCGGTTAGTCTTTGCACCCATGCTTTCTGTATTCTTTTCGGTCCTCCCAAAAGACTAGGGGGCGTCGCCACGATAATTGTTTTGTTGCGATTATGGTAAGTTCCCTTGCATGCTGGAGCCGCCTGAGAACATAAGGTGGCCCAGCTCCGGGCTCAGGCCATCAGGAAGGGGGGGAAGAGGTTCGAGGTGCTCGGTTCGGGATGCCTCTTTCGCCCCCCAGGACCGTCAAAAACAGATCACGGGGTGAATAATTGCACCAGAAAAACCCTGGGAGGCGTCTGGGGACCGATTTTGAGCGGATTTGGCTTCATCCCCCCTCCCGACCGATGTTCTGCGGCCCCAACCGTTTCAGACCCCCTGCCGGTCTCCAAGCCACGAGCCCGTGATGTTGTTTAGATTATGGCAGGTGTGTTATACATATATATATATATATATATATGCATGGCAGTTCCCCCACCCCACTCCACGCCCTCCTTCCGCCGCCCCTTCAAGCAACGCTGGGCGGAAGAGGCGTCCCGACGTGCGTGAAGTTCAGATTTCCTTTCGGGCCTCGCAAAATCCCCCCCCCAACTCCCCCCTCCATGCCAGCATACTTGCCTGCATGCAGCTGGTTCCGGCCCCGCTACTGAAGGGGGAGGAGGAGGAGGAGGAGGAGGAGGAGGAGGAGGAGGAGGAGGAGGAGGAGGAGGTGCCTGCGTGCAGCTGCTCCGGCTGATTCACTGCCTCCTCCTATCCTACCCCGCCTTGTTTCGTCCGATCCAGGAAAGGGGGGGTCGACCAGCGCAGATCCAAGAGATCCGCGCGGAATCCTCTGAGACATGATGCTTCTGCACTTCGTGTTCCCCCAGTTACGCTGCATCTTCAGGGGACCTCGCCTGTCCCCCGCGGGCCCGATTCGAACTCGACGCGGATTTGGCGCGGATTCGAAGCGGATTCAACACGGATTCGACACGGATCCGAGGAGGCTGGCATGGATTCGACACGGATTCGACGCGGATGCGGCCGTGATTGGACAGGCAAGGCCCCTTTGATTATGCAACGTAACAGCAGGGCTCGAGCTAAATAGTGTTTTTCGTGCTGTTTGTGTTTCTTTCGTTCTGTCTTCGTTCTGCCTCCTGCTGCGAGACGAAATCAGAACGGAGACGGTCCACGAGATCGCCCACACCCCGTTGGGTTCGAGCACGAGTCTGCAGGGGGGGGCCGCCACGGGGGTTCGAGGTTTCCACACGCTTCCGTCGGCTTTCGGCGGCTTTCAGCCCCTGGGGTGCCTTCCGGCAGCTGCGCCTCGCCGAGAGCGTGCAGGGGTTGCCCGGATCGTCCCGAGCCACGGCCAGAGACCCGCGCGGTGATTTGATGGCCATACGAGGAGCATTGCCATGTTTGTCCGCGGTCCGGTCGGCTGCTGCGCCGCTGCGCATTGGCTACTCCAGATTTCGTAATAAAAGGGAGGGGGTCTGGACCCTCCAAGACAAGCCATTTCAGACCTCCCCCGTGGGAGAACCCTCCCAAACATCGTCCCCAGACCCCCCCAGGCCCTCCAAGATGGCCTGGAAGAGACCCCCCCCGAAGTGAGACCCCCCTCCCTTTATTACGAAATCTGGAGTAGATTGTTTTCGGGCCGCCGTTCTCGGCTGGTTTCGGTTTCGCGGTCGGTCCGGTTGGTCTTCGGTGCTGCTGTCGCCGTAGACGCCGACGCATGAAGGAAGCCCGGACGTCCGGAGACTCGAAACATATTGCCTCCGTCGTCGGGCCCGTGGACACTCGAAAACGGATCCAGGACGAAAAGACGGCTTCCCCGGATGTTGTCCAGTGCCCCGCAGCCCCGCCTTTGCATGTCATCGTACTCCGCGGAAGAGTAGCGGGCGAAGAACGGTATACCATATGTTTGTTCCGCCGTCGGGCCGCCTGCCCATTGGGCGGGTGCGAAGTTTATACCCTCCCGAGTTCGTCAATCTCGAACTCCCCTAGCAAAACACAACCCAGGATGCCCAACCGCTTTGGGCCGTCGAGCCCGCCTTGGGCTACCTCACTCCCCTGAGCAGGCAGCTTCAGGCCGAAACGTGAGAGCAGCCAGGAAGGATCCCAGCAGACTTCCCACACGCCGTCAAATCATCGGAGCACGTCGTGCTCCTCCCTTGAAACCTGGACGGGGCACCAGATCAGAGGGGGGGCGGCCACTGGCCAGAACGCGTCCAGCGCTAGCACAGGCGCGCCCAGCAAAAGAAGTTCCCCTTCCGTCTTCTCCCTCCACCCATCCCCATTCTCGCCCTCCTCCTGCACTCCGAGGCTGGGATTCATCTGTCTCCACCGTCTGGGGAATCGATCTTCCTGAGCCCTATAGGAGGCCGTGGACGCGGACATACTCGATCCACCGCCCCCTGGATCCTGGATGTCCCGGGGCATCGGTTCCCCAGGCGGTCCCTTCCCCCGTCCTCATCTTCTCCACCTCTCCGCCGTTGCCTCCTCCTCCTCCTCCTCCTCCTCCTCCTCCTCTTCCTCCTCCTCCTCCTTCTCCTCTTCCTCCTCCTCTTCCTCCTCCTCCTCCTCCTCCTCCTCCTCCCTCTTCCTTCTTGCTCCTGCTCCTGCTCCTGCACTTGCTCCCTCCTCACGCTCCTATTCCTACTCCTCCTCCTCCTCCTCCTCCTCCTCCTCCTCCTCTTCCCCTCCTCCTCCCCTCCTCCTCCTCCTCCTCCTCCTCCTCCGCTCCTGCTCATGCTCCCTCCTCCCGCTCCCCTCCTCCTCCTCCTCCTCCGCCTCCTCCGCCTCCTCCTCCTCCGCCTCCGCCGTCTCCTCCTCCTCCGCCTCCTCCGCCTCCTCCGCCTCCTCCTCCACCTCCTCCGCCTCCTCCTCCCTTCCCCATGCCACCAGGCACGCCCCGGGGCGACGTGGCCAGCCTGGGCCGGGCGGGCGCCGCGGGCCACAGCGCGGAGGCGGCGCGCGGAGGAGAGGTGTGGCTCGTCGCCGCCGTCGCGGTCGCGGGCGAGGAGGGCGCGGCCGAGAAGGGCGAGGCAGAGGAGGGCGAGGAGGGCGAGGAAGGCGAGGCAGAGGAGGGCGAGGAGGGCGAGGAGGGCGAGGGCGAGGAGGGCGAGGAGGGCGAGGGCGGAAGGCGCGGCCGAGGAGGGAGGCGAGGGCCTCAGGCCCCCTCGCGCTGCGAGAGGCAAAAATTCACGGCGGGCGGTTCTCCGCCGTGCTCGGCCTCCCGGGGGCCCTTCCCGGGCCTCGGGGCCGTCCACAAAGGATGTCAGGAGGCTTTGACTGGTCCCCGGGAAGGGGCCCAGGCTTCTGAGGGGCACGTCGTGGAAAATCACGACGTCGGGGTCTGGGGGGCGAGGCCCAGGACCGGGGCGAGGAGGTGCAGAAAAGGCGGCGCGCTGCGCGCACGCCGCTGCGCAGCCGGCTCGTCGCTGTGCTCTTCAGGCTTGTCATGGAGCGCCGCCTCGCCGTCGCGCCCGACGTCGAGTTCATGGTGCGCGGGCCGGCGTCGGGCATACGGTCAAGACGCTGAAATGAGGAACAGTTCGGATTCGGAATGGGGCTCGATGTTCCTTAGGTTCCTCCAGTGCTGTTCCTCTTGCCCTCCTGGGGCACGGAGGCGCTTGCAGGGCCAAGAAGGGGTTTCGTTCCTTGTTTGGCGTTCCTTCTTACCCGATGCGGCGCTTGCAGGAGGATGCGGCCAGCCTGCTGCACATGCGTGCGGGCGGAGGCGCCACAGGAAGCGGTCAACGGGGACAGAGTGACGCGAGGGAGCTTGCCGCGGCGATGCGCTTCATGGAGGCGGAGAAGCATGTGGCCTTCGCGAAGATGACTTCAGATGGTATCAGGCTGCTTCAGCAGCAGTTGCGCTTGGCTAGCAAGGCCAAAGAGGGACACGCGCGAGATCGCAGAGCGGCTGGCCGTTGACAGGCGGGTGATGCAGGGGGATACGCCGTGCGACCAACGTATCACCTAGTGTAGCAGCAGGTGCGCGAGGTTGGTCTCGCGGGCGGAGGCCTTGAAGTCCATCGTCGATTGGTTGACCGCAGAATTTGGAGGGTAATTTGGGGGCGTGGGATCTCCTAACGGACGAGATCCGCGCGCTGATCAGTACCACGTCGGAGATCGCCGAGATGGCCCCGCGAACGCCACCAGACCGTTCCATAGCAGCGCGTGAGCTCCTACGGCGATTCGGCCATGGATGATCCGCACCTGGGAGTGGGAAGCCAAGGAGGAGGAGGAGGAGGAGGAGGAGGAGGAGGAGGAGGAGGAGGAGGAGGAGGAGGGGGAGGGGGAGGAGGAGGAAGAGGAGGAGGAGGAGGGGGAGGAGGAAGAGGAGGAGGAGGAGGAGGAGGAGGAGGAGGAGGAGGAGGAGGAGGAATGCCCACGCCATCGCCATCGCCACGGCCGGAGCACTCGCATCGATGATGCTCAGTTGCCAGGCGGCCTGCTATCTCAGCGACCGTGCTGCCCCTGCCGCAGCAGCAGCAGCAGCAGCAGGTGGCCCGGCAGGCGGCGGCCCGGGTCAAGCTGGCAGGAGGAGGCCCAGGCCCAGCGTCACAATTACATCCAGGAGGGAAAAAAAACACAGACACAATCAATCGTCGACTCCCGAGAAATATACTGAAATATTGGAAGTGGGGGGGCAGACGAAAACCCAGAAAATATGAGAAAAATTATGGAATCCTTTTATTTGCGTATTCATGTGTGTGTCCCGGGGTCCCCTCATACATGGTGGCAGAGACGATGGGGGCCCGAACGGCACATGGTGACGCAGATGGCCAGCACGGCGTCCTTCTTCAGAGGCAGATCGGAGGCAGGTCGGGCCGCACCTCATGCGCCACATGCGCCGTCGGCAGCATCGTCGAGGTTTTGAACGAACTCTGGCAAAGGGAACAGAGATGAGGAGGAGGAGAAAGTGGGAGGGGGAGCGAGGAGAAGGGGAGCAAGGGTGTAGAGAGGAGGGGGAGGAGGAGGAGGAGGAGGACGAGGAGGAGGAGGAGGAAAAGGAGGAGGAGAAGGACGGCGAGGAGGAGGTGAGGAGGCGGAAGGCGCCAGGCACGATACAGGACTGGTCGGTTTGACCGTTTTTCTCAAATGAAGCAGCGACCCATGTCTAATATATATATATATATATATATATATATATATAACGACACAAAGGGAATCTCGTCGTGACGCGAAACTTATTTTGGCGGCTGAATTTCGAGTCTAGACTACAACAGGATTCCTTTGCGGCGGAATGCACAAGGATACCCATGATGGCGGGATACAAGATGGTTCCGTCTGTTGCAGAATACACATTTATCTTTCGTGTGGCGAGATACACTGCGTATCCTTCTGCGGTGGATTACAATGGGATTCCTTAGGTGCCGGATTACTGAAGGACTCCTAGCGTTGCCGAATATCAAAGGGCTCCTTTCTATGCCGAAATGCGAATAGTTTTTTGTGTTGCAGAATGCGCAAGAATTCCTCCTGTGGCTGAATAATAAGGGCTTCTCGCTATGATGGATTACTACGGGATGCTTCATTGTGTGGCAGAATGCAGAAGGAACCTTCTTGATGCTGGTTAACAAGGGATCCTTACGTGGCGGACTACACGCGGAAATTTTACTGTGACCGAATACAGAAGGGTTCCCCTTGGTGCAAAATACAACAGGACTCTCCTTGTGGCAAATGCAAAAATAAGGATCCCGTTTGTGGCGAAGTACAAAAGGATTCCCTCAGCGGCAGAATGCTAGATGGTTCTTTTGTGGCTGAGTGCTACAGATTTTTCTTGCGGTGGATTACTAAGGAGTCCTTGTGTGGCAGAATCAAACAGGAATCCGCATGCGTTTGATTACCTAGGGCCCCCTTTGCGTGGCGGAGTACAAACAGGTTCCCTTCCTGGCTGGACACAAAAGGATTCCTTCGTGTAGCACAATACACGGATTCCTGTTGTTGGTGGAATCCCCAGGGATTTTTTCTTGGTGGGTTACAATAGGGTTTCTTTTTAGCGGTGGAATGGATACAGCAAAGATTCCGTCTGTGGTTGATTATCAAACGTTTTTATTGGTGGCAGAATAATTAGTGGCGGAATGCAAAATGGATTTTTGTTAAGGCAAGTTGCAGAAGGATTTCTTTTGTGAGCGAAGCGTGCCAACAAAAGCAACAAACAACATGATGTCGGGCAAGGCGCCATGGGCCGTCGACAATTCTGCCGAAACCACGTTATGTGTCAGATTTGTTGTTTTTGTCGGCGCGTTTCGTTCACAAAGGGTATCGTGTTGTAGTCCGCCCTGCAAGGAATCATGTTGTACTCCGCCACAAAAGGATTCTCTCTGTATTCTGTCGCAAAATTGACCCATTGGTAACCAACCACTGACGTAATCTTTTTGCCTTCATTCCACCACAGACGAAATCATGTTGTAGTACAGTACGAACGGAATCCCCTAGCATTCCGCCACAAATCGAATGCTTATATATTTTCTGCCACAAGAATCCTTTTGTATTCCGCCATAAAGGGAATCTTCTCGTACTCGGCCACAAAAGGATTCCCTTTGTATTTCGTCGCATACAAGAACCCTGTGTGGTAATCAACCACAGAAGGATTCCTTTTGTTATCTGCCGCAGAAGGGATACCCGAGTAAGCCACCACAAAGGGAAACCGGTCGCATTCTGCACACATGGAATATTTTCGTGTTCGGCCGCGCAGGCACTCCGCAGAACTCAGATTTTGGGATGTTGAAGGGTTCACTTGAGTGGGAAGACGAAGGTTTCTGGATGAAGGTTTTCTCCCTCCTACTTCTCCGCTGGGAGCGGAGAAGCAGGAGGAAGAGATGGAGGAGGATGAGGGGGAGTAGAAAGAGATGGCGGAGGATGAGGAGGAGGAGGAGAAGGATGAGGAGGAGGAGGGGGCAGCTCGATTCGCAGAGCCACTGTGCACACGCACACACACACACACACAAACACGCACACACACACACGAAGACGCACACACACACACACACATACACGCAACCACACACACACACACTTATACACCGATCATGCTTGTCTGCATGAATCGTTGAGAGGACCGCCCCGTGCTGAGGAGGAGGAGGAGGAAGAGGGCGGGACCTGAGGGCGTGAAGGTGTATTGCAGAGTGGGGGCAGGTGGTCTTGCGGGCCGCCAAACTGGCCGCACCTCACCGAGTGTTTTCTGGCGGCGCCTCAATCGTTCCGACCAGCCTTCGGAAGGTTGCCACTCTTCAAAGATGCGCTGCCCAGCGCAGCGGGAAGAGCGGATGACGAATGCGATACAAGTCTTGATATGTTTGCGAAATTTTGAGGGATATTAAGTTGCCAAGTAATCACGAGCACATGTGCGTGAACGTGTTGGTCGTTTGTTCTGTGTTTTTCTGATTTGGCCGGCCCCTTCTCATAAGCTCATGCCGGGGCTGCTGTGGTTGGGAGGATTGAGCGGGGCGGAGGGTAGCTATTTGAGATTCGGCCAACGAGATGTTCGACGGGCCAAGTCCCGTTGTGTTTCATAAGCAATGAGCTGCCCTGACCAGGGAGTTCCTCGGGTATGTCGTGCACCCGCCCGTGTTCAAAAGGAGAGTTTCCAGGAAGGCCCAAGAGGGCCAAGCAACGTGAAGGCATACATAGTAGCTGGAAAAAGTGACTCGGGCCAGCCCTTCCACTCTACCCAGCCCTGTCCATCTTCCCTGTTTGTTTCAGCCCTGGCGACTGCATCCCTACTGATTCGGGCTCGCTTCACCCACTGCCAGTCTTTCCAGCCCAGGCCACTTCCTCTTTCGCTGAATTGCCAACGTCCACTTCTTCCAGCTTCCCTGCAGAATTCCCAAGTCAAAAGTAAACGACGAACTATGTAGGATCGATCTTTGTCACCCCCCGTCTCCCGTGGAGGTCTCCGTAGCTCTCCAGATCCCAGAGGTGACATCCAGTGACTTCCAGGGGCCTCCGACTTTCGGAAGCCTCTCGAGGCCCGCCCGGGTGCCCGAGAGGCGTGGGGGGACTCAATCTCATCATTCCTCTTCCCCGCCTCTTGTGTTAAGTCGGGCCTGCCCCTCTACAGGAGGAATATTCAAGAAATAGTCCAGAAATAGTCAGGGGATTTTTTTTGATTATTTCTTTCATCAGTTTGCAATATTATTTGAGTATTTTTCATTTTTCGTCGAAAATCCCCCTGTAAGGGGACACGCCCGACTTAACTCTTGTGTTACGCTGGCCGGGCTTTCAACCGAAACGGCTTCAACCTGCAGCGTCAAGCCTCCTTCCTTCGCCCCTTCGCTCCCATTCCGAAAATATGCAACATTCCATATTCGATCTTATCCCACTCACCTCTCTCCCACTCATTCCCAATATCTTCGGTACTCGATATTCTCTATTTGATACTCGAAAATCCTGTTATCCCACTCTTCCCTCTTCTCCCACTCACCTGCGTCGTCCAAAAATCTGCGAGATTCGAGAGTCGATCCTCATTTGGCTGCGGCGCTGGCGAGCCCCCAGATGGAGGGGGAAGAGGGGGATGAAGGGAGGAAGGAAGGGGGGCATGACGAAGGGAGTGGGAGAATAATGGGAGAGGATGGCGGCATCATAGAGTGCGCGCTTTTGGATTATGTGTCCGGTGCCGTTTCTTTTACCAAATGTTCAGCATGATGCCCAGCGAACTCGTTAGAGTCAGCCAGGGTTCTCGCTTGCAGAAGCTGTTCAGTTGCAAAGTTCGAGCGGTACATGGTTCAAGGGAGAAGAGGATGGAGAAGGAGGAGGAGGAGGTCGGGCATGTCCCTCTGCAGGAGGAATATTCAAGAATAGTCTAAAATAGTCTGGAGAGGAATGTTCGACTATGATTGACGATTGCATGTTCCATCCAAAATCTGCCTGCAGGAGGGGACATGCCCGACCAAAGATGAGAAGGAGGATCGCAGGCGATACCTCGCCCCCAATCCTGGAGGTCCGCCCGAAAAATGAGGCCGCTCGGAGGGGGGTAATTCTGGGGATGCGCCCCCAGGGGGGCTATTCTCGGCGGCGAGCGGGGGGGGAAGTGAGAATGAGAAGGCCTTCTCAGAAGGCAGAAGGACTTCTCAGAAGCCCTCGCGCCTTCTGAGAAGTTATTTAATGTCTTCAGGGAAGGATTAGAAAACTTCTCAGAAGGCCGGGGGACTTCCGAACCTTCTGAGCAGGCTTTCTCCTTCTCACTTCCCCCCCCCCCGCCCGCCGCCCAGAGTCGGATTCACCCCTGTCGAAATGGGCGCCCCCCCCGTCGTATCAATCTCCGAGCCTGCCCCCCCCAAAAACGCGGTCCATTCGAAAACCCCACAAAGTTGGGAATGTGAACGAGGATGAGGAGGAGGAGGAAGAGGAGGAGGAGGAGGAGGAGAAGGAGGAGGAGGACGAGGAGGAGGAGCGGGTGATGAGCGCAACAGCCTCGATGCTTATGTAACCCTCTAATGTGACAGAGGAGCGGGTGGTGCTGGAAGAGAAACAGGTCCCGAGCAGATGAACACACCACGACCATGACGATGCCGACGACGACGACGCCGCCACCGCCGCTGACGACGACGACGACAAGGACGAGGACGACGCCGACGACGACGACGACGACGGCGCCAGCGGCGACGACGACGAGACCGACGAGATCGACAACGAGGACGACGACGAGAACGACGACGACGACGTGGACGAGGACGACGACGAGGACGACGACGACGACGAGGACGACGACGAGGACGACGACGACGACGACGACGACGCGCGCTAACGATCCGCACCGAGGCACGGACGTGGGGAAAGGGCCCCCAGTTTGGTACACAGCACATCGCAGCCAGACACTTCCGGTTCGCATCTGCATGCTCATTCCTCAGTGGGCATGGGAGCGCGCGCGGTTCAGCCCTCCCTTCTCCCCCAGACGACGGCAGGGCCAACGACCGGAGCAGGAGGAATGCCAACCCCATGGCCGAGCATGGCCGCTCGCTTCTGCGCCCACGCGGGCACCCTTTGGCGCGAGGCTTCCCCTTGGAGAGGCGCGCCGCTCCCACTTACAGTGGGAGTGCGACGATCACTGGGAGGGGCCTCTGCACTGAGCTCTGAGAGGGTGCGAGGCGCCTCTACAGTGTTAAGTCGGGCCTGTCCCTCTAAGGAATATTCAAACATAGTTCTTTTTTAAACAAAAAACGAGAGAGATAGAGAGAGAGAGAGAGAAACAAAAAAAAACAAAAATAGAGGTAAGTCTGGGGACAATATTTTGGGGCATCGGTTGCATACGTTTTGGGGAATTTAAAATGTGTCGTCCAAAATCCGCCTGTAGAGGGGCATGCCCGACCTAACTCTAGTGCGCCCGCCCGCTCAGATCGTTCACTGACTCCTCGCTGAGGCACGGAGTGCCAGGTAGTTCTAGAAGCCGAGAACTGAACGGCAGGAGGAGGAGGATGTCGGACGGGGCCAGGACGAGGACAAAGCCGTTCCAGAGCTGTCCCGAACGCTCTCAGAGCGTTCGGGAACGTTCTGAGAAGGCCTCCCGTGACGCCCGAGACATGTTCCAGAGCCGCGGGATCTCAGAGATTCTCTATGTATCCTCACCCGAGCTTACCCTCCTCCCTCCTCCCTCCTCCCTCCTCCCTCCTCCCTCCTCCCTCGTGGCTTCGTCTTAGGATGAGGAGGGTCGTGGAGCCTCGCCCCCCGCTCCTCTTCCTGTGTGCGACGCGAACGTGATGTAGACGCCAACAACTGTGATGATGGTGTTTCTTTATCGTCGCCTTTGTAGTCAAGCACCCTACTGTTGTGCGCCGGGCTGTGTGCATTCTTGTCTGAAGCTCTGCGTCCCCCCACCTTCGGGCCAGAGGCAGCGCCCGCGCCACGCGGGACGCGCAGGAGGAAGTCCTGCGGCCCCAGCCTCGCCAGGCGGGCGGGCCCTCCGCCCCCGCGCTCTCAGGGGCAACGTGTAAGTCGGGCATGTTCTTCTACAGGAGGAGTATTCAAGAATAGCAGAAATAGTATGGGGACGACTGTTCGTGCTCTTTTGTTGTTTTGTTGATGATGGTCTGACAATTTGCCATGTTCCTCTGAGGCCCGACCTGAGTCAATGTTCGGGGGGGAGGAGCGGGTCCTGAGGGAACGCTTGGCGGCCTGGCTAAGAAAAAAAAAAAAAAAAAAAAAAAAAAAAAAAAGTCCTGAGGGAAACGGATCCTCAGGTGTTCCTCGCTCTCGGGCTCCTGGGGCCCCCACACGGACTCGGGAGGAAGAGCTCGTCCTGGGGGACGGCCCCGGGGGCCCAGGACCCGTGTCCCCCCATGCGAAAAGACGTTCGGGTGGGGGGGGGGGCACGCTCGGATGGGATTCTGTCGACCCCCAGTCTCGGGTCGAACGAGAGGGGGGTATCGGGAAAGGGGGGGGTTACGAAATCTGCTGCACGCAGCTGGTTTCGGCCCCGCCGCCGGGCCCATTCCTCGACACATGGGCGCCTCCCGGCGCCGGGGTGCGCTGGGAAAATCAGCTGCGTGAGCCGATTCTCTACCCTACCCTTTGCTATCCCCCCGTTTCTTTCCCCCCGATAGTCGCACATTCGTCGCCGAACTGGGCATGGTAGCCAATCCCGCCCAGGCATGTTCGGGTCCACGATCGAGAGCTCATCGCCAATTCCAGGGTGATGCTCCCCCCCTGAGCAGGTCACCCCAATCGTTCCCCCTTTCACGCCCTAGAAGTTTGGTAGGGGTCGTCGACGTCGTCGTCGTCGTCAGCCGCCTCCTCCCACCCTCTATGCTGTTCTCCCCCTCCTTGTTATTCTCATCCTCCCTTCTTACTTCTCTCCTCTTCCTCCTCCTCCTCCTTTCTCCTCCTCCCCCTCCCTCCTCCTGGTCCTACCCCCCTCTCCCCCTCCCCGAACAGTGTTGTGGAAACGTGAAACGCGTTTTCGAGATATCCATCGCCGCCATCGTGCGCTCCAGCGATGCCGGCACAGGCTTCCGCGGCAGAAAGGCAGGATAGGAAAACTATATGTTGCTGGAGTTGTGCCAGCGGTCAGTTGCGGTTCGGCGGTCTTGGGGGTGAGCGATTTTTGGTCAAAGGAACTGGGCCTGCCAGTCTGTCTTGGCGGCTTTGTCGTCGCCGTCGCCGCCCCGTCGCCACCTCGTCGCCGAAGGTCGTCCGGGCCTGCGGGTCGGTCTGGCGGCTACGTCATCGCCGTCGCCGCCTCGCCGACGCCTGCAACGATCGCACCACATAGATTGCACCACAAATATTGCACAAAACAGATTGCACCAGCTCGATTGCACCACATATATTGCACCACATAGATTGCCCCACGAAGATTGCGCAACATAGATTGCACAGCATAGATTGCTAGAAGCAAGCACATTGTGCGGGGTCTACGCTGGTTAGAAAACGCATGCTGATTGTTATTCGGCTTCTTCCTAGAGTTTACCCCCAAGGCCCTACGGTGAGGGCACCGTGAGCAATGGATACGTAAGCCCGGGTCTGGAAGCCGCTGGAACACCAACCGTGGCCCGCCCATGGATGCCACCCGCCGCCCTCATCACGCAAGGAAGCCTCCAGGGCCTGCAGCCTCCTCCTCCTCCTCCTCATCCTCATCCTCCTCCTGCTCCACCTGCTCCTCCCTCTCCTCCTCCTCCGCCTCCTCCTACATCCCTCCTTTTCCTCCTCCTCCTTCCTCTCCTCCTCCTCCTCCTCCCTCTCCTCCTCCTGGTCCTCCTCTTCCTCCTCCTCCTCCTCCTCCTCCTCCTCCTGCCTCCCACCAGGCACAGCAGGGATGGCAGCAGGGTGGGCAGCAAGCGGGCTTGCACCGGCGAGGCCCGCCCGCCGCCCGCACACGACGGTGGGGAGAGGAGGAGGAGGAGGAGGAGGAGGAGGAGGAGGAGGAGGAGGAGGTGGAGGAGGAGGGGGAGGAAAAGGAGGAGGAGGAGGAGGAGGAGGAGGAGGAGGACTGGGAGCAGGAGGAGGAGGTGGAGGAGGAGGTGGAGGAGGAGCAAGAGGAGCAGGAGGAAGAGCAGGAGGAGGAGGTGGAGGAGGAGTTGGAGGAGGACGAGGAGGAGGACGGTCGGAGGTCGGGCCGAAAGGGAAGAACGATCAGAGGACGGCACGGTCGGGATCTCGTGGCTCGAGGTTCGAGGTTCGAGGTTTTCGGGCGTGATCATTGGCTTTCGGCGGCGTTCCAGCCTCGGGGTGCTCTCCGTCAGCTGCGCCTCGTCGAGGGCGTTCCGAGGGTGCCCGGCTCGTCCCGAACGGCCGCGGGAGTTCCGACTCGGGGCCCGAAAACAGCCAGGGGGTACGGTGAGTCTTGTGGTTGGCGTGCCGCGGCACGGGTTTTGGCCCAGCACGCCTTCGCGCGACACGATGTCCATGTCCCGGTCCCCAGCCGTAAAGATCCCGAGCCTTCCCCAGCCTCCATCCCCATTGAGCGGAGCGACACCTTATCTCAAGCAGTGGCGACGCGTCCTCGCTTCCCTATAGACCCACCAAAGAATGTTCGAAGAACCTTTTGAGGCGTGCACGCTATGTTCTTAGAGCATTTCTGGCTGAGACTGTTCTGGTTTAAGTCATCGGGCTTTCGTTTTAAGAGCATTGCTTTTGTTATTTTAACAATTCGGGGTGATATGAACATTTCGAAGTAGGCCAATAGGAATGCCGGGACGGTCGGTCTCTGCTCAATTATCCGTTCGCAACGCATAGCGTGTCGACGGCGCCAGAGTGGATGCGCACGGGAGTTCGCGCCGCATTTCTCGGATGCATCGTCGATCCGACGCCGCCGATCCGCCGCCGACGCATCGGCGATGCATCGGCGATGCTGTGCAAGTAGAACCCAGGGCGGGGGAAACCGTCATATACCCTACGAAAAGGAGAATGGAGGAGGAGGAGGAGGAGGAGGAGGAGGAGGAGGAGGAGGAGGAGGAGGAGGAGGAGGAGTTGTGGAGGAGGAGAAGAAGAAGAGGAGCAGGAGGAGGGCGGAGGAGGAGGAGGAGGGAGGAGGAGAAGAAGGAAGAGGAGGATGGGGAGAGAGAAAGAGGAGGATGATAAGGAGGAGGAGGAAGTAGAGCAGGAAGAGGAGGATACTAATATGGTGACGGAAGGGGGAGGAGGGAGGAGGGAGGATGAGGGAGGAGGAGGAGCAGGAGGAGGAGGCGGAGGAGGAACAGGAAGGCGAGGAGAGGGCAGGAAGAAGGGCCAGAGGCCTCTCGGAGTCTTTTGGGGTGCCTCTTGGGAGCTGCTTGGAAGCCCCCTGGGGCGTCTTAGGGGGCCTCTTGGCGGTCTCAGGGGTCTTGTGGGACAGTTTGGATGTTCCAGGGGAGCCTTCTGGAACCTCTTGGCAGCCTCTGGGGGGCATTTGGGGGGCCCCATGGCGGCATATTGGGGCCACCTCAGCGCCTCGTGGGGCTATCTCGGAGGCCATCGACCGAAGAAGGGGGGGGGCAATTAGCCTTGCCACTCGTTAGCATCTCAGTTCGCCTCTTGGGGCGCTCTTGGGCGCTCTTGGCGCCGACTTGGGGCCACTGTCGAGGCCCTCTTAGGCTACCCTGGAGCCTCGGATGGCCATCGGAAGCGAAGAGGCGAGAAAGCAACAGCCACTGATGCTCCTAGGTGTGGGAAGGAGGTTGGCCTCTTGGGGGCTTCCTTGGAAGTCTCGGAAGCCTCTTGAAGCCGTCTTTGAACGTCATTGGGGCCTTTTGGAAAATGTTGTGAACCATAGTGAGGCATCTTGCGCTATCTTGAGTCATCTTGGAGGGCATCTTGGGAGGCCCTCTTGGAGCCGACTTGGAGGGCATCTCGGAACGCCCTCGACGAGGCGCAGCTGACGGAGAGCACCCCGAGGCTGGAACGCCGCCGAAAGCCAATGATCACGCCCGAAAACCTCGAACCTCGAACCTCGAGCCACGAGATCCCGACCGTGCCGTCCTCTGATCGTCCTCTGATCGGCGCCGCCGCCGCCGCCGCCGCCCCCGCCCCCGCCGTCGCCGCCGCAGCCGCCGCCGCCGCCAAGTGTATTCTGTATTGTTTTTTGACAGGGATGGTGGGGGGGGGTGGGGGCGCATCGGGTTGGCTGCGCATGTTCCGAATTTGGAGGCAAAGTGTGTTTTGTATGGTTTTTTACGAGGGATGGTGGGGGGGTGTCGGCATGGACCCGGGTTGGCCCCCAGTCGCCTGGGGGAGGGGGTGTTTATTAATAGGGAAAGGTGATTAAATTCCTCCCCGAAGGGGAGGAGGTTGGAAGAGGAAACGCCCCAGACCACCTACGCCCAGAAGGCTGGTGGGATTCTCCGACCCCATCTACTCGGACCCCATGGAGGAGGCCTTTATGAACCCCAACCCTGCCAAGTCGATTGATGTCCTGTCCTTTTTTTCCCTCTCGAGATTGTGCTGCGGCCGCAGTTTTGCAGGCCTGCGCCAGCGTGGTGTGGTCCCCGGGGCGTTTGCAGTAAACGCTGTCTTGCGAAAGGTGGTCCTGTCCACCCCCGAAGCGAGAGGTGAAAGGAACAGAAGCTCCCACGCCGAGACATACATGTGAGGGGACCAAAAAGCATTCGCTCCGAGAACAAAGCTGCTGAAGGCTCATCGAGTTCCTCGGCCTCCTCGATCATCGATTTCCCCCTCCGCCCCGATCCTCGCTCCTGCCCCCCCCCACCTCCCCCCGCAGGGGCCCGGCACGCCCTCGCGCGCCTCCACCTGGCCGCACCCGCACGCGGCGGCCTCCTGCGGCTCCTCGTCGCTGCCCCTGGCCTGCTTCGCCCCCGCGCCGGCCGCCGCCGCGGCCGGCGGCGCCGCGGCCTGCGCGGCGCTGGGCGGCTGCCTGCGGCGGGGGGGGCTCCCGGAGGAGCGGAGAGACGGAGGTATCGGGGGCGGCCATTCGGGGTTGGACAGAACCCCCACCAGCGACACGTCGATCAGTGAATTGTCCAGGTTGTCGGTTCTCGAGAGGGCGCCGCGGCCGTTCTGTTCCAGGCTTGCGCCCGCCAGGTTTGGGCCTCAGGTCGTTTTCGCTAAACCACGTTTTACTAAAGTGGGGTCTGCCCATCCCCGAGCCATTGGTAGGGGACCGGGGGGGGGGAGCCCCGGGGGCGGCCTCGGCCACGGGGGGGAGGGGGGGCGGGGCACTGGTGGGGGAACGAAGAATGGCAGAAGCATAAAGACTCGGTGGTCCGCGCGAATTTCTCGGGTTGGCGCTGGACCACCCTGGCGGCGCCTCTGGCGCCGCCCCTGGCGCCGCCCCTGGCGCGCTCTGCGCGCCAGGGAGGGGGGTCCAGCGCCGATCCGAGAAATGCGAGCGGACCTCCGAGTTTTTCTGCTCATGTCAGTCTTCGTTCGATCACGGGCTAAGGCTTCGAGTTGCGCGCAGAGAGCCGCCCCGAGCAGTCCGAGTTGGCCTCAACAGGCCCCCATCGAGTGGCCTGGGGTGGTCTCGACACCCCAGCTGCGCCCCAGGGGCGCTGCGCGCCCTGGGGTTGAGGTGGTGAGACCGCCCTGGACTACTCCGGGGGCATGTTGAGGGCAACTTGGACTAGGAGGCGGAGGAGGAGGAGGAGCAAGAGGAGGAGGAGGAGGAGGAGGAGGAGGAGGAGGAGGAGGAGGACGAGGAGGAGGAGGAGGAGGAGGAGGAGGAGGAGGAGGAGGAGGAGGAGGGAGGGCCTGTCGAGGCCAGCCAGGATTATTTGGGGATTGTCAGACCAAGATCTTTATCGGGCCGGGACGATCGAAAACGGACCCAGAGTGGAAACCGACCGAAAGGGCGAACAGGCGCAGATCTCCAAAGAAGGTATGGTCCGAGGAGGAGTAGATGGGGTGGTCGGAGGTTCGTGACGCGGTGCCCGAGTTTCTCCACGCCGACATCGCTGAAGCCGCCGATGCATAGCCGATGTATCAGCAATGCATCGGCGATTCGGTGCGGTCCCCCATTTGGGAGTGAGGCAGCGGTATAATCATAATTTTGCATCTTGGCATTGTGCCCGTGTTGCCCGTCCCGGTCTCGAGCGTGCCAAGTTCGACTACACGTGAGAATGACCCGTCGCCGGAGTGACCTTGGTGCGGGCCCGATGGGGTCCCCCGACCGCCGCACGCGATGCGGTAGTAGCGTCCTGCGCGCTCGTGGTTGGTCCCCCCGGCTGCCCCCAACAGCGGTACACCCTGGGCGATGCTTAAGAAAACGTAAGTTTTCGGCCAGAGTCTCGATTATTCTTAATGTTTCAATGTAGATCCTAAGATTTGAATAGACATTCTGGATGTTTATTCAAATTCTGAGACTATGAATTTCTTAACCCATGAATTCTTAAGCATTTCGCAGGGTGTAATCATAATTTGTCGGAGCTCCGCGCGGATTTCTTGGGTCGGCGCTGGGCCCCCCTGGCGGTGCCTTCGGCGCCGCTCCTGGCAGGGAGGGGCTTCCAGCGCCGATCCATGGAAATCCGCGCGGACCTCCGACCACTGAGGCTGATGCAGATGTTGTCGGATGATTGTCAGGAGGAAAAGAAACACACAGACACAATTAATCCTCGATTCCCCAGAAAATATAGGAAAATATGGGAAGTGGTTGGGAAGACAGAAACCCAGAAAATATAGGAAAATATGGGGAATATGTTTATTTGTGTGTATTTATTTGTGTGTCCTGGGGCCCCTTCAGATTGTCATCACTCAGGGAACGGATCAAGGTACCGATGCTGCTACGCGTCCCTCTCCGCTAGGGCCAAATACTCCTCGAGATCCTGAGCAGAGCGCACCCCGTGCTGGGTCCAGGGAGTATAGCGGTATCGGGTATCGGTACATTTCTGCCCCCCATGTACGATCGAAGTGAGTGCGGAAAGAGCGGGAACAAAAACCGACAGCAGCCCTTGTCCAGTTGGGGCCGGACGATCATGGGGCCAGACGCAAGGGGGGTTGATTGGAGCCAACCCTTTGTGCAGATTCCCCCCCCCCCCCTTCTTCCGCCCGACCCGAGAAGAAGCGCAAGCCTGCAGGGTCGAAACCGGTACGGGAAGAACGGGGGCAGGGACCTTGCAGCAGCCCTTGCCCATTTGCACAGGGCTCGCCGTAGGTGCCGCGGCGGACGTTTCCCAGTAGAGCCGAAGAAGAGGACGGAGAACAAGAACACGCCAGACCATAAACTTGTGGCGCTCCGCCCAGGTTTCTTGGGTCCGCGCTCGGCCCCCCCGGCGGCGCCTCCGTCGCCGGCCTGGGCGCGCTCAGCGTGCCAGGGCGGGGGGTCCAGCGCAGATCCAAGTCCGCGCGGCGCGCCAGAAAGTCTATATCTATTCAGGAGGGAAAAAGCACAGACACATTTAATCGTAAATTCCATAGAAAATATGGGAAAATATGGGAAGTGGGGGGAAGACATAAACCCAGAAAGTATGGGGACATATAGGGAATACTTGTATTTGTGTGTATTTATTTGTGTGTGTGTGTGTCTGTCTGTGTGTGTGTGTGTCCCAGGGCCCCTTCATTTGTCTCATCATCTCCCCTTCTACAGTCAACACGCATAGTTAGGATGGGCAACCTTCCCAAGGGTACCCTTGCATCCTTGCCTCCTCGGTCCATCCTTGGGCCACTTGCGTTTGCCAAGCTCGTTCGAAGTTCGTTGACATGGCCCTCCAGGGCCCCTGTATCCTTGCCGCGCATCCTCATGATACGAGCTGACTGTGTCGACTGCAGGAGGTCGCCTGCCCAACAGCGGCCGCTGTCGGTTCTGGACAGCAGCTGCTGCTTGGCATTGTGCCCGTGTTGCCCGTCCCGGTCTCGAGCGTGCCAAGTTCGACTACACGTAAGAATGACCCGTCGCCGGAGTGACCTTGGTGCGGGCCCGATGGGGTCCCCCGACCGCCGCACGCGATGCGGTAGTAGCGTCTTGCGCGCTCGTGGTTGGTCCCCCCCGCTGCCCCCAAAAAGCCGCGCACCAGAGGTCACTGCTGCGTGTAGCCGACGAGTCGATTCTTGCGGAGGGGGGGCCCGCGCATCTCGGAGGCCCGTCAGACCACGCGCAACAGATTCTCTTCGAAGCCCCGCGCGCATTGCTCGGGTCGGCGCTGGGCCCCCCCTGGCGGTGCCGCCGCTGGCGCGCATGGGGAGGGCCGGGCGGGGCCGGGGCAAGGATCCACTCTTCCAGAGCGCTCCGGGGCGCTCTCGCGGCGTGCCGGAAGGCTCTGAGGAGGCCGCAGCACCCGATGGATCCTCCAGAGCTGCCGGATCTCAGAGATCCCCGATGTATCCTCAAGTCGGACACGTCCCTCGAAAGGTCCCTTGAATATTCCTCCTCGGGAGGAATATTCAAGAATCGGCAAACAAGTATGGGTGCGATGTTTCGATGCTCTTCAGTTTTGGGATATGCTTGACTATTTTTCAGCTTTCTTTCAAAATCCGCCTGTAGGAGGACATGCCCGACCCAAGATCCTCCCTGTCCGATCCTCTCCCTGTCCTGGCCTCGTCTTCGAGGGTGTGCAGCGCCGACCCGAGCAAGATCCGCGCGGGCCTCTGAGAGCTCTCGCCCGTGTGGCTGCCTGCTCTCCCCGAGAGGAGGGCCCGGCGAGGGCCCGGCGCTGCTCCTTCGACGAGGAGGACCCGGCGCTGCGAAGACTGGGGGTCGGCCATGCGCACAGGGGGGTGGGGGGGAGGGGGGAGGGCCTCTTAGAGAAGCACCCCTGCTTCCTAGAAGGCGCGGGCCTGACTGAAAGATGTAGGGCAGGCGCCTTCGAAGGAGCAGCCTCCTTCCAAGAAGCCCTCCCCCCTCCCTGCACCCCCCCTGTGCGACGCCAAGGGGGGGCCCTGGCGAGAGCAGCACCTTTGGCGAGCCCTGCCGGGACCGGCCCTCGCCTCGCGCGTCGATCTCCGGGGCGATCGGCCTGGGTACCCTGGGTTTTTGACTATGCGTGGGGCCCCCTGGCGGCGCCTCCGGGGCCAGCCGCCCCTGGCGCGCAGGCAGACCCAAGAATCGGGGGAGCGTAAGACCCGGGTTTGCCAGGACTCGGGTTCGCCATTTTTTTTTGACGACCGCGACTCGGATTTTGACGAGTAGAAGTTTCGTGGGATGTCTGCAGCGGGAGGCCTCGTCAAAGTGCAGGCTCGGCCTCGTCATTTTTTTGACGACCTCGTCGAGGATTTCCGAGTCCCCCGTACCCGGGTCTTACGTCTCCCCGGAAGAAATCCGCGCGGACCGTCGACGGTTTATGTTTATGTTGTTCTTTCCTTCCCCCGGGCAAGGGGCCCTGAGCGAGGTGCGGGAGGCGGGACTGGAGTACCCCCCCCCCGACGGGGGTCAACCTCGCCTGGTCGTCGCGCCGCGACGCGGGTCGGAGCGCCTTCGGCGCGCGGTTGCCCCCCGCGACGGGGGTCGATGTGGGACTGTCGGCGGGGGTGACGCCCCCCCCCCCACGCTTCTTGAGGAACTCGGGGTACGGTGCCCCACGGAATTTCTGGCGAATTTTGAACAGGACTCGCTGCCCGCGCCGCCGCGGACGTGGTCCATTTGAGACAGGAGGCCGCCTGCCCAACAGCGGCCGCTGCCGGTTTCGGACAAGAGTTGCTGCTGGGCACCGTACCCATATCTTCTGTACCCATTCCGGGCGTCCAAAGTCAGGAGGGGAAAAACACACAGACACAGTCAATCGTCGATCCTCCGGAAAACATTGGAAAATGTAGGAAGTGTGGGGGGGGGGGCCGGGGGGGGAGACGAAAACCCAGAGAGAATGTAGGATCATACAGGGGGAATCCTGGGGGGTTTGTGTGTGGATTTACTGGTGTGTGCCCCTGGGCCCCTTGACAGCGACCCGTTCCTGCGCGCGGCCCCCCCTGCCGCTGCCGGCGGCGGAAACACGAGCAGGTGGCCGTGGTCCAGGGGCCCCCAAACGGGGCGGTGGCCGCACCGTGTGGTGCGTCGGTCGGTGCCCAGAGCCCCTCGCGCTGTGGAAAAATCACGACGGGAGGTTTTTGTCGCTGTTTTCAGTCTCCGGGGGGGCCTTCCAGGGCCTCGGGACCGTCAAAAAACGACTCGGGAAGAAAACCCGGTCCCAGGGAAGGGGTCTAGAACTCTGGGGGTCGACACTGTGAAAAAATCATGACGTCGGGGGTTTGGGTATTCGGGGTCACCGCACGGTTTTGGACTCGGGTCGTTCTCCGAGGACGTCTCGGGCGACTGGGGCCTCTGGGGTCCCAAGACCGTGCGTTGACGGGCCGTGCGGTTGGGTCTTGGGGGCTTTCGAGGTCACCGCACGGTCTGTCATCGCACCGCTTCGGGACTCCAAAAAGATGATGGTGCGTTCCGAGAGGTCCATCGGCGGACAGCCCGGCGGGGGAAGTCCGATGGGGATGCCTTCTATCGGTGAAACGTAAGACTCGAGTAAGCTAGATTTCGGGTTTGCCCACGTTTGACGAGCGCGTCCTGGATTTTGACGGTCCAGTGTTGGTTGAATGTTTGCAGCGGGAGTTCGCGTCAAATTTCAGATTGGGCCTCGTCATTTTTATGATGGCCCCCGTCAGGCCAACCCGAGTCCCCCGTACCTGGGTCTTACGTCTCCCCGACTCTAGTGGTTCTTGGAAACGGCAGGGCCGTTCCTTAATCGTTTGCTGGAATCCTGACCTCGAGAATGAAATCAGTTTTTTTATTACAAAGAGGGTTCCCCGAAACAGGCGAAACATGGCTCTGGGAGTGAACCAGAAAAGGAAGGGCGACGGAACAGGAAAATAGCGGCGCCTGAACCGGAATGCAAATGGCAAAACGTTCCAAGAACAACGAAGGGCAGGCCATCTCAGAAGGTTCGGAAGGCCTCCGGGTTTCTGAGATGTCTTCTAAGCCTTCCCTGAAGACAGAAACGGACTCTCAGAAGGCCAGGGGGGCTTCTGAGAACCCCCGCCGCCTTCTCAGAAGGCCTGCCCCCTCTCATTTCCCCCCTGGGCTCGCAGCCAAGTCCAGGAGTTCGCAGATCCCTGAGGTTCCACAGGGCTGCAGAAACGAGGGCCGCAGGGTACCCCAGAATTCCAAGAGAGCATCCAGAGTCAACCGCCCCCTCATGGCATTCCCCGCCAGAGCCAGCAGGGGCGGCTGCGCGGGAAGGTTGCTTCCCTCCTCCCCGTCCTCCCTCGGGGGAGGCTGGGCGGGAGCAGGAACGACGGAGGTGTCCTCTTGTCCTCCTCCTCATCCTCATGTCCTCCTCCTCCTCATCACCCTCCTGGCGTAGGGCATGCCCCTCTACAGGAGAAGTATCCCCCAAAACAGTACAACGTCGTATGGTCACGATTTGCCATGTGTTTAGATCAGGTTTGAACATGTGTTGACTAATTTGTATTTCTCTTCCAAAAATCCGCCTGCAGGAGGACGTCCGACCGAAGTCCTCCTCTTCCTCCTCTCTGTCTTCCCAAGGCCCTTGAGGGCCCGTGGTGTGTTCTCCTCCCCTGGTCCCTTTGGATCTCTCCCCGCCCCCGTGGTGTAGCCACTTTGGCTTAGGTGCTCTCAACCGTGTGCCTGTGAGGTCGCGGCCCAGAGAAAAGCCCCGTCTCCGCTCGTCCTTTTACGACTCGCAGATCCATGTGTCCATCCCATCAGTGACAGTGGTAAGCGGAGCGATGTCGGAGAGGCTCGCGGAGACCATGGGCGTTCCAGGCGCGGGCGATCACGAGCAGCAGAAGGGAGTGCAGGAACACGAGCAGCAGAAGGGAGTGCAGGAACATCAGGAGCCACTAGCAGACGCGTGGCAGTCACTACCTACGCCAGAGAGAGTTCGTCGAGGCCAAGATGACCCCTCGACCCAGGCAGATGCTCAGCAGTCATCAAGCTCTGCGAGTCAGGGGGCTGATCCGTGGAGTGCCTGGAGGAGCTCTTGGGAGTGGAAGGGGTGGTGGCAGGCCAGCGAGCATGACACATGGAGAGATGACGGCTGGGGATCATCGTCGGCGGCCTGGACGAATCCCCACACGGCTCCAAACAGAGATTTTGGCGCTCCTCCTCCCTGGTTGAACTTCGAGAACCTCGAAACGTACAGGCATAATATACTAGCATGGACTCGACGTACTGGATTTCGGCCAGAGACTCAGGCAGGACGTATTCTAGAAGGCCTCCCAGTCGAACTACAGCTTAAGTTTCGAACGATCCGGGCCGATCTCGACTCGCAGGACGGTATCGACCGATATTTGAAGCACTTGTCACTACTGAACGGCGAGCGGCCTGGAGATCGCGAGAGGTTGGCACATAATGCAGCGCTGTTCAATTACATGATCAAGAAGGGAGAGTCGATCACGGAGTTCGTTCTGAGACGTGACGCAGAGATTGCAGAAGCGGAACGATACGACTTGGCCTTGCCGGATCCGATCAAGTCGAGGTATCTCGAGGAAGGCGCTTGTCTCTCAGCGCAGAACGAGATCAACATGCGCACGTTGGCAGGAGGCAGGGATGACTTCAGTTCGATACGGGCCGCAATTCTGAAGTTGGATGTCAAAGATCAGCCGATCCTGCCGACGACGCACACGCCTGTGACGAAGGCGTTTGCGGCAGAGGTCTCAGAGGAGGTTCCCCCGCCGCCGGAGCAGTACCAGGACGAGGCTTTCTTGACTGAGATCGACGACTCCGTCGAGCTGCCAGAGGAGGATGTGGACATCTTCCTCGCCACGCTCGACGACCAGGACCTTGGCGAGACCGAGGTGTTGCAGATCTTCGCGGCGGTGGTCGAGGATCGATTGGGCAAGGAAAAGAGGCGCACCTGGGCTGAGGCCAGGCGGCTCAAGGCTGCCAAGAAAGTGGACCGCGACTTCTTCGACAGGAAGAGAGCTGCTCGCCCAGGATTCAAGAGGCCCATGATGACCGACGCGAAGAAGCGCACCCGGTGCGCGAACTGCGGCGAGCGCGGCCACTGGGCGGAGTCGTGCAAGAGTCCGTTCAGATCCAAAGCGGACAGGATCGCCAGCGAGAAGGGCAAGAAGGACAGCGCGGGCAAGAGCTTCTTCTTCGACGTGCTGCCGGACGCGGACAGCTACATCCAGGTGGACGACTGGAACCAGCTGCTCAAGACGCTGCACGTGGCAGGGCCTGAGCTTTCGCTTCGGCAGCTGGGCGATCACGCCTTGGTAGACACTGCAGCGGGTCAGGCGCTCATCGGACGCGAGGACCTGGAGGTGATGAAGACCGCGTTCGAGAGACGTGGATTCCGGATCCTGGTGAAGGAGGGCCCAGTGGCAGGAGTCACGTGCAACGGAGTCGGCGGCAAGGTCAACCCTGTAGGGAGGGCATGGGTCCCCGTCAGCATCTGGAAGTGCGGGATCGTGGAGTTCCTAGTGCTTCCTGGCCGGTGCCCACCTCTTCTACCGGCTCGGCTCTTGGAAGCGATGCACGCGGTGATCGACCTGGGTAGTGATGAGATCTAGCTTGGCGATCGCGACAAGGTGCGACACACCCTCGTGCGGCACCTGGCCGGGCACAGGTCGATCAGCCTGATCCACTGCGAGCCCGAGGACTTCTGTGTGCCGGACGACGTGATGTCTCGCTTGCCGGCCGACGTGCGTGAGGACCTGAGGGGAGGGTGGGCATCTAGCTGCGCGATGTCAGATTCCCCTTTTCTCCTCTCCCTCCTCGG